AAGGCTCCACCCCATAAAAAAAAAAAAGTGTCTCACACTGCTCCGGTTCACCCCGATCAAAGGCCTCCTGTAGTGAATCGATGCGTTTTTGTAAGAAAAATATCCATATTCAAAACGTAATAATCACTTTAATGTAGCTTGCGCCAACAGTCCTACACGGAAGCAGCTCCGGGTTGATGACATATGAGTTCAGCATTGCGCATGCGCCGGTGAGTCTCATGAAAACCAATGTTTGTTAACAGGATCAAAGGAAGCAAAGTTTCCTTACTTTAGCAAAAGAAAACCAGTCTCCTCTTGGCTTATATCGAAATCCTCCGACATTCTTCTTTACAAATCCTCGTTTTGTACTTCTAATTAGTGACCGTTGTTTTGTTTTGATCTCTCCCCTGCACTTCCGCGTGCGTCACTTCTGAGCGGCGCAACGCCGATGTCTTACGTCATCAGCCCGGAGCAGCTTGAAAGATCAAAGACAATATTTAATATAACTCCGACTGGATTCGTCTGAAAGAAGAAAGTCATATACACCTAGGAAGACTTGAGGTTGAGTCATTTGTGGGCTAATTTTCATTTTTGGATGAACTAACCCTTTAAAGTCTTTTACAGCCAGCTGCCTCCAACATAAGCACTAATGCCTAAACAAACACCCTAAAACCCATCACTGTCAGTCTCTTTCTCTGTGACCCATGAACCCAGAGTTCGATCAAGCATAGAGGAAGAGAAGTAGTGGGGCCATAATGCAAAGAGAGCAGAAGCAGACAGACTGACACAGAAAGAGGGATAAAGTGAGGGAGCAGTAGAGCAGTGTGCCGACCTGTCTGACTGCAGTGCGTTTGATTAGATCTGACAGCAAAACCCCAGACCGTGCTGCACTGGCACAGAGGTCAACATCCTCCCTCTACTTCTGTCTGTATGCTTAATGAGTGAGAATCAGGAGCAAATGAGGAGAGAACCAGCTGGGTGGGGGAGAGGTGGATGAAAGGGAGAGGAAACAAGTGAATAAGACAGAAATACAAAGAAAAGAGAGTGGAAAAAGGGGAATGTGCAGAAGGGATAAGATATCTGGACTAATTCTGTCTGCCACACTCGCTCTTATATAAGCGTTCCCTGGCTTTAAAGCCTCAAAAATGTATGCTGGAAGGAAACTTGAGTGCTTCTGCCGAGTATGTTTGATCTGTTGTGCTTTTATATTCAGGCATGGTTGTTGTGATATTTAGTGCTACAACATGACTTCAAGTCTTTATAAAATTCTGTAAACAAAAATTCAACTTGCATTTTAAACACAATAAAAGTAGTTATTTTCCTATGAAAATTCAGCCAATTCAGACCCAGCGATACCTGTCTGATACATGAACACAGTGCAACTCTTCATATCAGCACTCTTGGAACCAGTACAGTGTTTCGGCACCACGCAGCCCACACAATTGCGTCGGGCCCTGCGGAACACGTTTTTCTACCGAGGGGGATTGCTATTACCCCAACCAGAACATGATTTCCTCCGAGGGTAACCAAACGGGATTTCTACCAAGGGGGGAGGAACCCAAGGAACGCAATTTCCACCGAATGGAGAATAATCCCCCTCCTCCCCGGAACGGGATTTCCCTCGGGACCACTTGCTGAGGGCCCGCTTTGCCTTCTTCCACACCATCTACATTACTGATCAAAAGTTGGACCATTTGCTTTCTGAGATGGCAAAGCTGCATTTTCAGCAGTCATTACTCCAGTCTTCAGTGTCACATGATCCTTCAGAAAACATTCTAATATGATGATTTGGTGCTCAAGAAACATTATTATTATTATTATTATAAATGTTGAAGACCGTTTTGCAACTTAGTATTTTTGTGGAATCTTTTTATGAATAGAAAGTTCAAAAGAACAGCATTTATTTGCAATACAAATCTTTTGTAAAACTTGTTTAATGCATCCTTGCTGAATAAGTATTAATTTTTAAAAGTATTCATTCATTTTTAAACACTATACTTACATGTTTGTACTTTACTCTCTTTTGTTCTTAAAGGGGTCATATGATGCGATTTCAATTTTTCCTTTCTCTTTAGAGTGTTACAAGCTCCTGGTGCATAAAGTAATTCTCTGCCCTGGTGCATTATAGACCTTATTCAGATTCTCTTTGAAAAAACAGAAACCTGCAAGGCTGCTTCCCTGGTCTGCTTTCCTTGTTTACTTGTCATGAGCTAGTAGATGCTACTCAAACTTCTTTCTTGTCTGCTTTTTGGAGTAGTGCCTGCTGACATACTCCTGGAGCAAAGCAGGTTAGCCTTCATCACTCTCCGAGAGAAGGACAGAGAAACAGACTGTGAGAGTGGCAGAGAGTATCCACACAGCAAGAGGAGGGAGGAATTATAGAAAAGGGAGAGGAGTCATTTTCAGAGAGAAGGATGGAGGGACGAGAGAAGGATAGTCGCTTTCTAATTGTCGGATGTGTCGCTCTCTGCAAGTCTGTTCTTGTGATGTGGATATTAAGGCTGTAACGATTATTCTACATTATAGACAACGACGACAATAACATTTATTTTATTTTTTTTGTCGAATAGTCATTTCATCATGTAAGGGCCTGGAATAACGCTGTTTGGCCAGTGTGGCGCTGTAGCACAAGTAATTGAGCCCTCTCGGTTGCAATTTAAGAGAAGACGACAAACACTGCACTTATGAGAACATGTCGGAGTGCAAACACAGCCGAACCAGATGCTGCTGAGAGCGGTGTTTAAAGAAATATGTAAATATGTGCCGCGCGCTTTCCTCTCAATAACGAAATAAACACAACAAAAATGACAGTGGTGAGAAAACAGCAGTTAAGAAAGCATCTGATCATGGCGATGTGGATATGTTTGCTCTGCTATCAGCACTCCAGTCACGTTTATTTATATAGTGCTTATATGTAAATAAAGCAAGCAGCTTTACAGTGTTAAACATAAAAAAACAGGGTCAGTGTCACTGTCAGTTAGAATTATACTTGATTTTCTGTTACAAAGCAACTCCAGTGTGGAGCTACAGTAGCTAATGTTAAATCTTTTTATTAGTGAATACAAAAAAATCATTACATTAAAGTAATTTGCATAAATTAAAGCTTGATCTAGCTCAGGACTGTTTTGATTATAACTCTATAAGGTATATACAAATGTCTTATCACTGGCCTTTGTTGTTCATATGACTTACAAAAGGAGATGTTAGGCAGAATGATGCATCAGTTCATCAGTTACTTTTTCATACAGTTAATTAAATGGTGAATGGGAATGTCTCTCATCTAATTTTTTGTGCCAAATATATTTATTGTATTGTACAAATAGTTATATAATAATTGTAATTGTACAATAGTAATCTATTTGTCTAACATTTTCAAAACTTGAAGTGATTAACTTATTTATTAGTTAGACTGTTTAACTCAATATTTTAACTAATTGTAAAAGCTGAATAATTGATCAAAGCCTATGGATTAATCAGAGAAATAATATTTTATATGTAGCACTTCCTGTCGCTCCGGAGGGTGTCATCATCACATGGCAACACTGGAAAGGTAGTGATTAGCCAAAGGATGTTTGCTGTCCAGAAGTGCATTAACTTGATTGCGTGATGCCGCGTGCAGCGATGGTGACCTCAAACGCCGCCTCTGCTCTGTCACGGCAGGGTTATCTGGGTTTTCTGCTTCTCTGCTTTTTTGTTTCTGTAGCAGAGATTGAAATAGGTTGGGCTTGATATTCTGTGTCTTCTTTGCACAGATGAATGAAGAATTTAAAGAGGATGTGATGGCTCAATTATACGCTCTTTCATCTCCATTCCTCAGGTCCCGATAACAGTTCGGACACAGAGAGTGCGCCTTCTCCATCTCAAACTGATCCCTCCAAATCCGACTCTGTAACTCATCCCTACTCCGCTCTCGAGGGCGTGTCGGACCAGGATCTCATGGTAACCAAAGGCCCAGTGGCAGATGCCAAGGGCCAGGAGCCTCCGTACTGCGAGCTGCGGGTGAAAGTAGAGAAGAGTCCAGAAGGAGAAGCTGGAGACGGGCTTCCTCAGGATGAGCGCACATGCTTGGCGTATGAAATGCAGATCCATCCAAAGACTGAGCCGCAGGATTTGGAGATGACTGATCCGAGCAGCGAAAGAGCACAGGTTCAAGTCAAGACAGAGCCAGATATCAAGGACAAGGAGGAGAAACAGGGGGAGCAGCACAACTCAGATAATGACTCTAGCGCCACCTGCAGTGCGGATGAGGATGTGGAAGCCGAACCTGACCGACAAAGGTAAGAAACCGCTGCTCATGTTCTATTATGGGGTTCATACATACAGTGCTATTGGTTTCTAGTAGCATGGATAGGGTGGTGATTTATTAATTGAAATATAATTTATATGTGTGAAAATCACATAATAGTATTTTCAGTAATATTAAAATAAATAATACATATAATAATATGTATTTAAATTAGAAATGCAAATATAATATAATAAATTTAGATTCTTGTAGCCTGTGAGATCATGGGTTTGATTCCCAGGGAATGCATGAACTTAAATCCAGTGCAAGTACATTTATGTAATGTTTATGTAAATGTATTAAAACATGAATATTTTTTTTGTGTGTGTTGAAAACAGTAAAAAAAAATTAGGGCTGCATAATTTCACAGTACTTTTGTACAATATTAGCTCAAGCACATTCCCATGCTGGACAACTAAACATTTATATAGGTAAGTAAATTAAATAAATAAATTAACTGTATTTAATAAAAGTTGAAGCAATATAAATAATTCATTACACATCAGAGCTAAACAGTAAGGTTTTTTCTGTAGTTTAGATTTCTAACTGGGGCTGCACGATAAATCGCATGCAATATTTAATGAACCGGCTTTACTGACAAGATGCGCATTAAATATTGCATGCGATTTATCGTGCAGCCGGAGTAAAAATGTTCAGCTGCCAATTAGAAATCTAAACTACAGAAAAAAACCTTACTGTTTAGCTCTGATGTGTAATGAATTATTTATATTGCTTCAACTTTTATTAAATAGTTTATTTATTTATTTTGTTTACTTACCTAAATAAATGTTTAGTTGTCCAGCACGGGAATGTGCTTGAGCTAGTATTGTACAAAAGCAGGTGAATAGACTGTGAATGAATGAAAAATTACTTCTGGTCTCTTTGTTGTTGTGTATGTGTGAGGAGCCCTTTAGATGTAACTAGCAGTAGAGTATCAGTAGCTAATACATTTTATTCTCTTGTTCCTTCCTTCCTGTGGCAGACTTTTCTCTCTGGATAAGCCGTCATTGCTTGGCACTGCAGGCTCGGTGGTCATGTCCTCAGCCAAACTCCTCAACATGCAGCAGCTACAGCAGCGGGCCGCCACCATCCCCCCTATGGTCAGTCCCCATAGCCTCTACCCCCACTTAGCATTCAGATATGCCCCTCTGGACAGAGACGGGGCCCAGCCACCCCGCCACGTGAGTCCTGCCTCCATCTCCACCTCCGCAGATCATGCACTTCTGCGGCAATCAGCAAACGAATCAGCAAATACCAATTGATTGTCCACACACTGAAATCATGACGAGTGAAAATACGTTTGGCTGCTTTGCTAGGCTGATTAGTTGTGCTGTTTGGAGGTGTCTGTTGTGGCGATTTGGTGTGGCTGTGAAATGGTTCTAACCGAGGCCCTGATTGGCCGTTCACAAGGTCTTGTTGCAAAGTAAACCGTAGCTATTGTTCATGGAATTAAGTCATGCACCTTTTAATCATTTAAATTTTTCTAATGGAGCATTTTTGCTGAACATCAGTCCAGCATGTAGCCCCCATTTGAATCCTCTCTGTTGCTGAATGGTTTGTTTAGGTTTCAGCTCCATTCGGTCACAGCAGCGTTCCAGGAGGACTTTTGAGCGGCTTTGCTATGTTCCAGCACCAAATCAAAGCTGTACATGAGTCCGTGCAGGAGGACAAACAGAGACTGGACCAGAACGAGTCTGACCGCAGGCCACGAGTCACCACCCACAGCCCCACTCTAGTGGACAGAGAAGGTGAGTCAGACGCAGAAGCAAAGACCGATAGAGGGAATACACGAAAACACTTGAGGTGAATGTAGTAAATTTAGAAAACCCCATAAATCCAGCACCAGTCGTTCCCTCTAATAAGTTTTGAAATGTCCCTTTATTTTGTCCTCGCTCTTTGGTCAATATCCACTTGAGATTCTTGAAAAGATTAGGTTCTTTTATGCTTTTAAATGCTTTTAAAGTCATGAAGAAATGGAATTGGCAACAGATTTTTTTTTTTGTTCTACCGTCAGTTGTTGATTGGATGGAGGCAGATCTGAATGTGAGCTTGCAGGCGATTGTAAGAAAGGGGCGGGGTTTAAATGATTGGTGAAGTCTAGCATCCGCCACCAGAGAGAAGTCATTTTCTTCAGAAGATCGAGTTATGTTTCAATGAAATTAGAAGGTCAAAGCAAATTTTAAAAGATTAAACACGTGCATGGATGAATTGTTCACAGTAACAAAATAGATTTAACCAGCATGTGAATTTACTTATTGCCTTTGCCTCTTATTTCTTCATTTTATAGAAGAATCTTAATGGTCATATAATGTCCAGAAAAGTTAATGGCATGGGCAGTTAATAAGGGGTTAAAATTACAGAGACGCTTTGGAATCATAGCATTACCCGACCTCCCCAATATAAAACTAATCTCATCCGAATAGAGAATTTTGTCACTTTTTGTTTGCGAGAACTCCTGACCAAAGTAACTGTCTCTGAGGGGAAGAGAGCAGTGGACAATACAAAATTGAGGTTACCGAATCACCCCTGAGACAAACCGACTGAAAGACAAGCAGATGGACCACTGCAAAGCAAAGAGATTGTGATGTGCCTGTAGTACCTCTGTTCTATCCTCCAGTGCACTCTCGCTTGGTTTTTACATGCTAAGAAGTTTGAGCAAAGACAGTAATGGCAAATACACACTTTTCTGTTTTTCCTCCTCCTCCTCTCGGTTTTATAATGGGTCTCCAAAACAGATTTTTTTAAGGGTGTCGAGTGCACCGGAGAGAGACAGTGGACTTTGCTCTTCTCAGCTAGAAAACACAGTGCTGTTTTTGATAGAGCCAGACAGAAAGCAGCCAACCAAAAGGAACATTAGGTCACACTCTTGTAGTGATATCCATTAAAAACACCAAGTTTTGCTTGACCTCGTCCTTATAGACCGGCAGACTGTAGCTCTAAAAAGCCTTGACATTTCTCTTGCCAGTGCATTTACAGTGATAGCACTGAATTAACCTTTTTATATCTATTCCTGTGATTAATGCATGATGAGTCTGTATGGTTTGAATAAGAAGTTTTCTTGATCGCTACTAGAGAGAGGGCACTTTTAGAAAGTGCGATTGACATTGTTTTGTGTCTTTGTCTGTCTGCTTGATGTCTGAGTATCTGATAGACTTTCTTCTCTGTCCTGTCCCCAGGTAAGCCGTTCGCTTACATGCCGTATGACCTGAAGCTGATGGAGCAGGAATCTCATGGTGGAGCGGGCAGACCAGACTCTCCGTACAGACTCTCTCCTCGGGAGCCTAGCAAAGCCTCACCCCAGCCCGATGCCAATAACGCCACCCACTACAGTGTACCTCCAGGTAAGCAGTCTGTACACCCTGCATCCAGGCACAATTTTTAGAAACCTGCTGCTTGTTTTTTTTCAGGCAGGATTGGGCATCAAAATGAACACTCAGCAACACTCACTGATTAAGAGTAAAATGGAGTGTAAGAACTATAGTCTGACCCTCACTAATGTAAGCAACATGAGCGATTCAAATCAAAGACAGTAAAAAAAACTCTATTAAAGGTCTACTAATGAAAACATCTTCCAACAGTGTTTATCTCAATCAGCAAGATTTTTTTTCTTCTTTTATGCTCACAAAAGCTGCATTTATTTTATTATTTATTTGATTTTTTAATTTTCAATTAGAAAAAAGGCATTTCCTTTAAAAAAAATAAATAATAATAAAAGTTAACTTTATCTATCTTTCTGGATTTTATATCTGCTCTGGATTGTGTACTAATCTATCTTGTACTTGTAAGCTTCAAATATTGTTGGCTCTTATGATAAAATTGCTTGCATTGTTGGAAGTCACTTTGGATCATCACTCTTTTGTGTGTTAAACACGTTCTACTAACTATAGACAACTTCATTTTAAAGAAAATTGACCTGGTCAACAAAACTTTCTCTCTGTGTCCTACATGCATGCTACATCAATATCATGACCACTACTGATGATGCAGTTGTGACTGGCAAGGAATTACCTTACTTGGAGGTTCAGAGCAAACTAGGGATATCACACTTTGGTACTGTAGAATAGGAAACAACCTGGGGAAAAAAATTATTATTACTACCTTTATTACATGTATATAAATATATTATTTCATCATTAAAAAATTTAAATAATGTATAAAACATGCAATTGTAATGTATACTACCGTTTAATGTATGTATAAAAAAATTATAATCATGCAATTGTAATGTACACTACCTTTCAACGTTTAGGGGTCGGTAAGATTCATTGTTTTTGTAAAAAAAGAGCTGATGAAGTGGTCATTTTGCGCTCTTGAGAGAGGCGGGCTCGCATCTCCACCAAGTCAAAACACACACCCAGTTATAGACTTGACTCGGGGTGAACATGCTCTTCTGCATATTCTCATGTAGCTCTAGGGACTCCAGATGGCAAAGCAGCACGTCCTTATGACTGGTAAGCATATCTCGTGAATGGGCCAAAATCAGACAATCGTCCAGATGGTTTAGAATGTGCATACCGCTCGCTCTGAGAGGGGAAAGCGCTGCATTTATGCACTTCGAGTATGTTTGTGGGGCTAAAGCCAGCCCGAATGGGAGAACTAAGTACTGGTATGCCTTGCCTGTGAAGGACTATCATGAAGCCCATGGAACGACCGATGGCTTGAGCTGAGCACTTTGTCGTCATCAGTGTGAAGTCCGTCGCCGCTGTCCAGGGGCTGCAGGAGCTTAGCTTGAAAGACCTGCAGCAGCGCCATTGCGTGCAGCGCAGATGCCGCTTCGCCCGCTTAGGTGTTAGCCTTGTCAGCGAGGTGGGTGGTCAATCTGCAAGGCAGGCTGAGGTCTGCGGCAAGCGTGGCCCAGGAAGGGCACAGATGTGCGGCGACGGTCTCCTCGACAGAGGGCATGCGCACATAGTGACGATAACTATTTCGTGCCGCAGACCAACGTTATACACGAGAGCGCAGTTTCACCAGCGAACCCAAAGACCAGGGGAAAAAGCTGAGACATTTATTCGTTCACTGTACGAGTTGTCAGAAAACTGTGATTTCGGTGCTAACAGAAATGAGAACATCAGAGACAGATTAGTTGTAGGAATTAGAGACAAGGCCCTGTCAAAAAGATTACAACTAATTAAAGATCTCACTCTGGATGTCGCGGTACAAATGGTAAGACAAGCTGAGGAAGTTACTCACCAGGTCAGCCAGCAGGGGGATCCAACGTGCAGCGTTCAAGAGAGCAGGCGACCCAAACAGCATACTGGCTACAGGTCTGAGTACAACAGAGAGCGCCAAACTGGAAAAACAAAGAATGGTGAGGACAAATGCAGCCGATGTGGCAAAGCAAAACATAAAGACAGAGAGAAATGTCCAGCCTTAGGAGCAGAATGCAGGAGATGTCACAAGAAAGGCCATTGGGAACACATGTGCAAAACTAAATTAGTCCATGAAGTCATGAGGGAAGAAAGACAATCTGACTAATTTTACCTTGGATCTGTACAAAAGACAGGGAAAAACACAGAGACGTGGACTGTCAATCTGACAATTGGAAACACACCAGTAGCATTTAAGATAGATACTGGGGCGGATGTGACAATAATTAAGTGAACAGACATTCCAAAATCTACAAAAGAAACAAGAACTGTGCAAAGCAAATGTCAAATCAAACCTGCCTTAAAACCCAGCAACCCTGCTTTAACAAAAAAGCAAAAGAGCAAGACTTATTTGACATCAAAACAAAAATGTTAAATGCTGTCTAATCGCTCTTGCGGTACTTTGATGTCACACACAGAATGGTCTGTGCAGTGCTGCTTCAGTCCATTGCACTTAATGTATCTTAATACATTACGCCATGTTAAGTATGTAGTATGTAGATGTTTTTCTACAGGAGGAAAACGCGCAACAAGAGACTTTGCAACAAGTGCATTGCGTTCATATTCTGCTGTTCTGTGGCGTCTTTTTCTTGCAGGACCCAACACGCACCATTTGTGTCGATTGCAAGTGACGTCGCAGGTATCGGAGAGTGCAAGTGAAGATTGCAAG